CATCCTCGAGTTGTTTTGAGTATATTTTACACAGCCTGCGTTGTTTCTTCAGGCTCTCAATGCAAACTTAAATCCTTAAAAAAAAGTCCCTGACCCTCACACGCTGCCTCCCCTCTGCTTCCTTAATATTCAGCTTTGTGAAAATGAGGATGAAGACAAAAAGCCCTGCATTGTGTCCAAAATGCACCCCTCTGCCTCAGCATTAACACCCCTCACACTCCCCTCCCTCTGTTGTTTTCCTCCTCTTCCCCCTGACAGGCTGCTGAGAAGCCCTTAATATGAAGGCTCATTGGTTGTGAGTGTTTTATGGTATTATGTCTGTACCAGGATTTGAGAGTATGTGTGTGTGTGCTTATTTTAATCTGAGAGATTTGCATCACACTCCCTTTGCTGCTTGCAAAACAGGCCTTATGAAGCAGAGACAATAACATAATTATGAAAATGAAATGTGTTGGGATAGAAGCTAATTCAAATTCTAGATCTGGGAAATATTATTACAACACAAGCCAAAATGCATCCAACAAAACTCAAAGTTATTTCATAACTGCTAGACAGATGATAATAACGTCGGTGCATAATTTTAAAAACAGCATTAGTACATCTTTATGTGCAGCACACACTCATTTCCTTTGCAAAGTGCAATTAAATGTTAATCATTTAATTCATAACTTAATTAATTAAATTGATTAAATGATACACAAACAAACTAAACTTGCTTAAATGTGCCAGTTTTAGCTTGTGCCAAGAGTCTTGGTCAAAAATGTTTTTTGTGCCATATAATGTCCTTCTCTGCGTGGACCTGCATCGAAAGAAACGATCACTAATTGGAGTGAAGGAACTGGCTAAACCTTGCATGAAATTGCCATCAGTGGTCCATTGTTGAGTGTGTGTCCCTCTGCAGCTCCACCCCAGCAGTCTGCCCATTGACTTCAGAGGGTGCTCACTCAGCTATGAAGCCTGTGGTGTTGCAGGAAGATGTTTGTGTGTGTGAGGAAAATAATGCATGGCTGTCTGCATCTGTGAGTGACATGGGAAGAGATAACAGGCACATTTATTGAACTATTTATTTTTCTTCTGAGGGAGTTCTTGTATTTTACTTTACAGCGAGAAAGTGAAGGGGAGAAGTGAAGGAGAGGTGCATGGATGTAGGGTAAAGAGGGTGTTGTGTGAAGGGGATAGATGGAGGAGGGTGATAGGAGGTTGATGGGGGCCGGGGGGGTTCGTAAGTAGGGTGGGTGTGAGATAAAATTGGGGCGGTGTGTGTGGCGGGGGTCTTGGATTGGACTGTAATCCTTTAGTCCTGGTTTGAAATAACCCTGCACAGTCTGGGACAAACAATATGACAGGGTCTCTCTCTCTCAGACAGACACACACACACACACACACACACACACACACACACTGAACATATTGCCTCACTCAGAGTGGTGAGACTGGCTTTGGCTGACGTTACTTCATCATGACAAAATGTCTTCAACGGGAGCTCACTGATCTGCAAAAGAAGGTTTGTTCTTACTTCTGTAGAGGAGAGTTTACATTTTACGCATTAAGTGAGATTTTTTGGTGGTGCATAAAGTAAAGAGAGTATGTTGCACTCAGAAGTGCAAGTTTGAGCATATTCAGGGGTGACTGTTTGTCTAATATTGAAAAATGCACAAATGGATGGGCTGTTCATGCTTGAAAACCCTTCAGTGTGGCTAAATTAAAACAATTCTGCGAAGAAGAGTGGGCCAAAATTCTTCCACAGCGATGTGAAAGACACACTGCCAGTCACTGAAAATGCTTAATTGCAGTTCTTGCTGCCAAGAGTGGCACAAGTAGTTATTAGGTCTAGGGGGCAATTACTTTTTCACACAGGGCCTGCTAGGTCTGGATAGTTGTTTTTCCCTTAATTATTAAATAATTGCATTTTGTATCAACTCAGGTTGTTTTTGTCTAATATTAAAAAATTTTGATCATCTGAAATATGTAAGTGTGACGAATACACAACAAAATAAGAAAACAGGAAGGGGGCAAATGCTTATTCACAGCACTGTATGCTTGAGGTCATGAGACACGAGGAGCACTTGGCTCCCTTCTGGTGAGGTTACTCTTGTGGTCCTATTTTGTCTTTTCTCAGTGCTACATCTGTTAGCATTAAACTATGGTTTTTCTCAGATTGTTGTCACATTTTCCAAACATTGCTTACAGATATGTATGTGAAAGTAAGTAGTCACATCATCAAAAGTAATATTACTCTTGTGATATTGAATATAATATTGAATAGTAGTAAGGCCGTTCTACGGAAGAGGATTAGGGCCACTGGGGAAAAAAAGATGTGCCCACTTTTTTTTTTCCAGTGGCCCTAATCCTCTTCCGTACCATTCCAAGTAAAATCAGTCAAATCTAAAATAAGGTTTCCATCTGATCCCCTCAGAACATATTTAATGAAGCTATGCAAAATTGTACTTTCCTACTATGAACATTTGTGCCATTTAAAAAAAAATCAGAGTTTAAATGCATTTTTCACACCTGAAAATTCATGTAGCTATCTCCTTTACGTAAGAGGGCTCAAAAAGGCTGGGAAAATGAAGACAAATTCAAATGCACCACCTGATGTACTTCGAGGGTCTGTGCATCAGAAAATACTCATTTTGCATGGTTTCAATAAATCAGTTGTTGTATAAAAACAAAACGAAAACAGCTGATTCTCAGGGGATCAGATTGTCAGCGATTATATAGTGAAGTGGGAAAACCTATGGCTTATTTAAAAAAATACAGACATCTAGACACTTTTCCATGCTACTTCCTCTTCTGCAAATGTACAGCTTTGTTGCAACTGTACTGCTTTTCAACATTTGAGAACTCCATGAATTAATCGTGTGAGCCTCTCATCATGCTTTCTATACTCTAAAGGTCTCACTTACTATCTGCTGTCAGTCATTTCTTCTGTTTACTGTCAAGTGGAAAAAACATTTTCACAGGTCATCATTTTTTATATGACTTTATTACTTCCTCACGTTGTGATAGATTAAAATTGTCCCACTCGTCTTTACATTGTTCCTTAAGTTCATTGAAGTTTTCAGCCATTTGTTTATGCACAGCTCTCCGCAGGTCTTGCCACAGCATTTTGATCGGGCTGAGATCTGGACCAAGTCCAGTTACATTTTCTTTTCCCGTCCCTCTGTTGTAGTTTGCTGGTGTGCTTCAGCTCATTGCAATTTCACATTTGATTCTGAATGCTTTGATATACAGAGGAATTCATGGTCACAGTGATTTTTTGCATGTTCTCTGAACATCTGACTTAGAGGTCACTTTGCTAGGACCTCTAACCTGTGAAGATTGTGGCATTGTGTTAACATACGCTTGAGTGCTCCAGACTAATAAACTCACACTTGCTGATTATCTAAGTGTTATTGTTAAGTGTATTTGGTCATCAGCACTTGCTGCTTCTTAACCTCTTTATTCCTTTGCAAGTGAAGGTAAACTTAGTTTTTTCACACGACTGCATAGAGTCCTTTCACACGACTGCATGTGTTAAAAACGTCTGTCGTTGTCTGATGAGTCAGTCCATAGCATACACTTTACTTACTATACTTTGTAGCACCGGCATGCTTGCTACACATGACTGCCTGCTGGAACGAGCTGCATTTAATTGTCTGCTGCCAGACGAACTGCATAAACAAGTTTCAGGCTAGATGCAAATTTCAGAGATAACACTGGCTTGAAAATGTACAAATGGGCTTGCGTTAAATGAAAACTGCATCATCGCTGTTAGATAACATGTAAAAATAAAGACACACAATGTTAGAGAGAGCTAGAACCTCTTCTGTCTGTTGTCCCTTGGTCAACCATAGACCACCTGCTGCCAGACTGGCTGTGCTCAGCTTCTGCTAGCGCTGTCATATGGCAACCACACGTTTGCATACACACGCGCATGCATGCGTGCTGTAACTATATCTGGTTCAGGGGTGTTGAAGTCTGGCAGGCGGCTAATATTGTCTGAATGCCACATCTTTATGCATGGATGTGCACATTTGCAAATATACAGATAGAGAAAGACAGAGTTACATGTGCATACACACTCACATGCACAGAGGCAAGCAGAGTGGCAGCAGCTTTCTTCTGTCTGAATCCACAATCAACCCAACATCCAAATAACACATTCAAGTCCTTTCTAGTGTAATTTGAGGCCAGACAGATATTGTCGCACATGGCTGTACCTTTTTTCTGTTTTTCTTGTTTTAGGGCGTCATGAGCAGCTCAATTTTTCACATTTCACTCAGAATTATTCCAGAAACACTGCTCACTTCTCTGCAATCAGAAAGCCTCTGTAAGAGGTCCTTCCTCTGGCCCCCTAAATGTCTGTGTGCGTGCATGTATATATGCATAGGCTGAGTGGCAACTTCACTATAAATTGGCACTTAAGATTTGAAGCCACACAGCACAAAGGAAAGAAAAGAGTGGAGGAAAAAAGCAAAGCTCTTTTACCATTTAAGTGCTTTAGTAATCACTGCTCTGAAGGTCTTTTGACATATTTGGATTTGTCAGAAAATCTTGGGTATGTTATTTTTCAGATATGTCTGAATGCTTCCTCTCATGAGCAAAAAGCAGCCTGTGGCTAAATGCGGTGCAGGGTGTCATTTCAAAGTGAAATTCAAAGCTGTTATAAGTTACTGCATCTCCACAGTTGGGCCTTTTAGAGCAATTAGAGCTCTTTTATGCAAGATCTTCAAACCATGACTAAACCGCTGCTGATGGTTTTTAGGGTATTGATATTTGGCTTTGCAGAAAACTGTGCACGAGGTGAAACTGACTACTCTAGACTTTTTAAAACGTTTATTTTACTTTATTTGTTTGATATACTGCAAGTGTTGTGCCCATAAAGACACCATGTTTCGTTTGTCTAGTATTTTTCTGTCTGTTCTATTTAAATAATACTTTTAAACAGGTAATCACATAATCAATCAAATAATGAATCAATAATAATCTTTTGCATTTTCATATGTTTTTGTTTGCAGTATGACCCCGAAAACTCAGGCTTCATCAGTACAGAGCGGTTCAGGGACCTGCTGGCCACCCATGGCTCTGAGCTCGACCCCCACAAACTGGAAGTCCTGTTGGCCCTTGCTGATGGCAATGCTGATGGAAAGATCTGTTATCAGGACTTTGTCAACCTGGTGAGATGATTTAACTTTCTGTAACTCTGTATTATCCATAAAGATGGTTATGTGAGAAAATCCCACTACATCAGCAGTTTCTGAAATACTCTGCCTAGCACCAATATGCGTCGACATGTCTACTTGAGTTACTGCCATGTGATTGATTGATTGGATATTTGCTTTGTGATCAGCTGAACGACTATACTTAATAAAGTGTCTGGTGAGTGTCAAAGACTCAATACTTATGACTTCACGTGGACGTCACACCTTTTCACTTAATTGTGATGACATTAAAGCTTCCACAAACCCGAAGGCTAAAGAATATCTAATACGCCAAAGCAAAACATACGTTGCAAGCAGTAGAGTACAACTCTAAACACTAGAGACATTAAAAAGACTGATTAAAAATTGTTCATAGTACTCTGTATGAGGCCAAAACTGTTTGAAGTATGGCCAAGACTTGTTAATTGTCTCCTAATGTGCAGAAACTGAGACTTATTTGTGACTTGTGGAACAGGTTTTTTTTTTGCCACATCTGGAACTTTTTCAGCTTTACATCCACCATATTCCAAAATCACCTCAGCTACACAAGATTGCTCCTAATAGGAAATAACTCCCTGTCTGGTGAGAATTACCCCTCCTAAGGCTCACCTTGCCCCACTTACAGTTTCACCTTCAAACCACAGCCCGCCGCTGATTGTCCAAGGTCTCACTCAAGTCTCTTCAGCCTTGCTAGCTTCTTCATAACCTTTTCTTTTCTTTTTTCTTGCTGCTATACCTCGTGGGAGACTCAACTGCTGACCCAGGATACTGTGAAGTGGTCTTATGTGGTACACAATAACTACTGGGTGGCTAAGGGATGCGGTGGGGGTGTACATCTCTGTACAGACTGTAGGGAATTCATTGTTGTCTCTGACTGTAAGAGAGTCCATCTCTCCCTGTCTCTCTTGTTCTTCGGAGCTGTTTATTGTGTGATACAGTGGGTGAGGAATGAGGCCTGTAGGAAGCTTGGAAAAATGTCAAAAGGACATTTTCTATTTGGTGCATTCATGTCACGTGAGAGCCTGTGGGTCATGGTGTGCAACTGGAAGTGGGACAGAAAGGAATGGAGATCTGCGTGCGTTTGGATCTTTGTGTACAATATAGTGAAGTATAGTTTATACATTCACAGAGGCAGCACCAACAGCAGCTAAACACATAAGAGAGAAAGGAGTGACTCATGGTTATGGTAATAAGGTGTGCATGTTTGAGTAAATAGGTGCTAAAATTTCAGATTTGTAAAGCATTTATCATCATCTTCCAGTTACTCACTGCTTTGCACTGGTGGATTACAAAGGTTGACCATCTTTAGACATTTCCTGAGCTTTGTAAAAAACATAGTAAGGTTTTTTTATAGTAAGTTGAATTTCGATGACCTTAACACTAACATTGAACTGTTTCGATTGGTCAACAGTAAAAATGTTGTTGGTGGGATCCTTCACATGTGAACCCACAGCTCTGTGAAAAGGCTTGTGAAACATTTTACGACTATCTGAAGAAATGCGTGGTATGTAAACACGCAGGCACGATGCTCAAAAGTACCAACTGCAAACTGGGAGCTTGAGGCAGAGAAGGAAGGACTGCAGCAAAGAAAGAGCGGAGTTGAGGAGTAGGGAGGAATAGCAGAAAAGGAGGCAAAGGAAAGGACAGACAGAGACAAACTGTGAGGGTTTTATTTGTTGCGCCATCTCTCCCTTGCACCACAGCTCTTCCATCAGCGTGATTGTCAGTAATTGCCTGCTCACTGCTCCATCACAGTTAGCTTTCATATCACTGCTCGCTCGCTTTCTTCATCCTCTCTAACTCTTTACCTTTCCACCTGCCTTTCTTGCATTGAATAAACCAGCAGGTTCCAGCTCTTTATTTCTTTCTTATTTTGTATGCTTATTACATTCTCCTTTACATTTGTCTCCTTGTATTTAACTCTCTCTCATACATCACCCTGATGTGTTGCATTTTTTTTACAGCTTTCCTGGGCAGAAAATAGCTACGTAATGTGTTTATACTTTACAAAATATCTACACTTTTAACCACTCAGTTTCTCGCCCGAGTGGAATAAATTCAGATAATGCTCATAACTTATGATGCGTGCTCGCATGTCCTGTTTTGTGTTATGTATACCTGAGAGAGCTTGAGCTTTATGTTAGTTTCTTTTCTTCTTTTATGTGGACGTTTGTTTATGCTGGTGTAAGATCTCCCAACATCTTTTTGTTTTTGTGATTCGACACAATCGTCGACATTCAGGCAGGAAAACACGTGGAGACAGTGAAACGCAATCCAAGACACATTGTGGAAATGCCAAAACACACAGTGGCATATGAGAAAGGATTTTCTGTTATGACAGTGGAAGTTGTTTTCATTGTTTCACTTGGCTTGGAAAGCAGTCCACCAGGAATGTGGACGGATGACGTTGTTTTGTGTGTTGCGGTAAATGTTAAGCCTGGTTGAACTTTTTTTTAGTGCGACCACCTTGTGTGCGTGTGTGTCTTTGCCTGTGCTTTTTTAAAAGCCGCTCTGTTGATGCCAACATTGTGCGCTCTGCCAAAAAACTGAGGGTAATCCAACAAAACAGATGAAACTCAGGGCTGACCTGGTGGAGCTAACGGAGGCATTAAGGCATAAACCGCATACTAACACACTTCTTTAGTCTCTTTTCAGCCTTCATCATATTTCTTCTGATCCTCCGCCTATTTGTCCTTCTCTATCCCCTTCTTGTTGTACTTGTTTCTTCCTCTGCCTCTTCTTCCGTCTCTTTTCTCTGATTGTATTTTCCACTGATCAAACAGAGAAATTGTCTCTTCCTAGCCGAACGCTCATCAGTGCCTCTCACCTCTTCTGCCCCTCTCCCATCTCCTCTTGGCAGCGAGAAAACAGACAGAACATTATTCTTTCTTTTGTGCCTCGCAAAGACGAGAGGAATCACAGTTGCTTCACACGAAGAATTGACTGTCTTTATGGGGCATGGCTGCCTGGGGGGGGATGTCTGTGAGAGCGCTTGCTTCGGTGTGCGGTCTCGAAGTGGCCATGGTAACCTGTAATCATTTTCCCACAGTTCTCTGTGACTGATATAAAGGCTGAAATAATTGGCCTTTTTGAAGTTTGTCTCCAAACAATGAGTCCTAAGACTCTAAAAGTCTCATTAAAAAGCGTCAGAAGAACTATCAGACAACTGTTCAGAGATTTTATTGTTTTTCTGATTTCGTGTATTCCTTCTTATCTTTATTTCTCGTGCAGTTTCTGTTAAACTGAGCTTAGCTGTGATAAATGTCTTTGCTTTCAAGATGTAAACAAGAAGATAAGCCTGCTGGCTTTAAACTAAAATGTTCCTTCTGATAAGCCAGTGCTCGTACTTGAATAAACATCAATTGAAGCTTTCTTACACATCGCAATTTTGAAGCCAATTTAAAGTTGTAGCTTTTGAAGATCCAGTATTACCGTCCACATCTACCTCTATTGCCAACAGCTCCGCTGCCACAACACATTTATGTTTTTTTCCCCAATCTCTGCCCTTGCTGAAAACAATAACACTCATCCTTATTGCCTTAAAGTAGCATCTGCTAACTGACACATCTGGGCTTCCTGCAGTTCTAGAGACACAGACATAGCCGTAAAATTGAGTTATGGAGTGTCACATAAACAGAGCGGAGCTGGAAACAGATTGGGGGAGGAGGGAAAGACTGGGACCGATAGCCAGAGTGAGAGAAGGATGGAGATGTGGGACAAGAATCTTATAAAACACACAGCAAGTGCAATAAACGGCATAGAGACGGCTGTGATTTAGGCAGAGAGCTGGAAAGGATAAACTAGAATTTCTTTTGCCATCTATGCAAAACAAAAAGCCTTACTCAGTTACTCTTAAGATTTGTGCAAACATTTTTTCGTCTGGTTATTTGTGGAAAATGTAAAGATAATTAAGTGGCAGATAGCTAAAACACATTCCTATTATTATTCTCACTTTTCTGACCTTCTTAATGTACTGTTACGCTCAAACAAAGGCTGCTGAAAATGGCGAAACATTTACAAATGCGATAAAGCCTGGAAACCCTCATTTCTTGTGGATTTTGCACCTTTTTTCCGTGGACGGGTTTGTGATGGACATGTTTGTTCAGCAAAAGATGTGTTAGCTTTTAATGCCTGTACGTGTCTGTACTGTTTAATGTAGGGTGGCTGGCAGTGTTCATTATCAGTTCACTGCAGATTATTTTCTTAGTCAGTCAATCGTTTGACCTATTGGATATCATAAAAGTGTGAAAAATGCCTTTGTTCAGCCAACAGCACCAAATCATACACATTCCTGCTTCATTTTTTTGTCCTTAGACTCTCAGCCTGGGTAGTTTTGAATGATTCACGGTTCAATATAATCCTTTTTTTTATCCTGGGCCTTGGTGCAGTCCCTCAGTTCATCGACTGCATGAAACAAGCCGTTTTATCTCCCTTGTCATTGCCTTTGAAGCAACTTTATTTCGATTGGCTGCCCCTTGTAAACAGAAGATTTGATCAGCGGGTGGGTTTCTGAGCTGTGTACTTGTGATGACCGTACCTGCTCTCACAGATACAGCAATTGAAAAAACTCTCTGATAGTGAGTTTTAATAATGATGGTTATAGTTAGACTGTTATATTAAACTATTTGTACTTACCTCCATCTCCTCTTCAGTTTTCTTCCATTCTTAATATTTCTTCTTCCTCTTTTTATGTTTGTTTCGATAGATGAGCAACAAGCGCTCCAACAGTTTCCGGAGGGCGATTCTGCAGGGCAGCAGGCAGCTAAAAGGCTGCAGTCTCAGAGACGAGGCAGGCTTAGGACTGTCCCAGCGGTTGGTCCGCCACGTTGCCTATGAGACGCTACCCCGTGAGGTCGACCGCAAGTGGTACTTTGACAGCTATACCTACTGTCCCCCTCCCTGGTTCATCCTGGCTATCACCATCGCAGAGGTAAGTTGATGGAACATAAAATGTGATGAATCTTTTAGTAATAGTACATTTTAATATGAATTGACCATGATGCTTTTCAACGGTGCCTTCTTGTGCACCTCTAGTATGATGTCAGTGTGCCTGTTATACAGTTGTGGTCAGGCGTTTACTTACACTCATCATGGACATGATCGTTGTAGTAATTTTGAGCTACTGATTTCTGAGCTGTTCTTTTTCCAGGTGGAATGACTGTACGACATATTCTTTAGTATAATGTAATCTTTAATTGACTGCACAAGTTTGAATTTAATTTGGATTTTCTCTAATTCACACAGGGTTAAAATTATAAATAAAGGTGCAAATAAATACAAACACAGCCACTAATATTTGGTTAAATGTCCCTCAGCAAGATGTCCCTGAACTAGCCATCAACAAGCTCTTGGCATGATTTTCGTCGGGTATTTGGACACTCTTCTATATTTAAATCTGTTTGGGTTTTGGGAAGATCATTCCAGAAGTTTAATGTTAGCCTGCTTTATCTATTCCTGAACCATTCCGTTTTTGTGTGTTTGCAATCATTGTTCTGTTGGGACACCCAAATGTGTCCAGGTTTCATCTTTCTTGCTGAGTGGTTTGCAACTTTTAGTGTCAAAAGAACCCTTTTTGCCCCTTCTACCAAACAAAGGGAGAAAAATCACTGCACACGCAGGGGGGTAGTGGGTGGGAGGATGGACGATGGATGGGAGATGTAACTGGGAGAGGATAAATTTGTTTAAATTATTATTTCTTCACATATATATATATATATTTTTTTTTACTGATGTCAGCTGAGAAAAAGAGACTCACCAAAACTGTACAACAGAAGACTGAATAACATGTTACCTATTTGAGAAGTCTATTTTCTGCTGTGATATTGGGATGGTGGGGTCAGAATTTGGCATAAAGAACATAAAAGCATGGATCCATCCAGCTTGTGTCAGTGGTGGTGGTGATATAATAGTTTGCCCATATAAGGTGTATATAAAACATTTAATAATAGGATAAACATACAGTGGTGTGAAAAAGTGTTTGCCGCCTTCTTGGTTTCCTGTTTTTTGTATGTTTTTTACACTTTAATGTTTCATATCATCAAATTAAAATTTTAGAAAAAAAACAACAAAACACAAAATGCAAAACATCCAAAGCTTTGTGAGAAAGGGATGGCTCCGCCCCCCAAAATCCCCTAAAAAAACCAAAACAAAGCAAAAAAAAAAACAATAGTATTTGATGTTGATGCCACCACTGATTTTTCCAGGTTAATTTGATTGAAACAATATTAAATCAGAAGCTTTTGCTCAACTCCTGTGAAATTACTGAAGTAATTTATTTGCATTGTTTCTATAATAATCTATGAATGGATTTGTGTATTTGTTATTCTTATCATAAATACTACAGCAAGTCACTTATTGTTTGTTCTCTGCTCTCCCAGGTAGCTGTGTTCATGTACTATGGGTGCCAGATGGACCGCTTGGTCCTGCAAGTTTCCAGTCCATCCTTCCTTAAAAGTCCCCTACCTTACCATCCTCAGCTACGAGCCCAGGCCTGGAGGTATCTCAGCTACATTTTCATGCACACTGGGTGAGTTTAAATCTATTGCTTTTCATAACTTTGCCACCATTCAGATTTTCTGATCTTGGAAACAACTTGGTGACATATTTTAGATGAACTTATCTGCTACAGTGTGTTCATGTCAGCCTTTAGATCAAGGAGGTACGCTTGTAGCATTTTAGGTGGATATGACATATTGATGAACACTAATTTGAAGTGCCGCATAACTGTGATGCCTTGGGGTGGTGTTACCTAAGGCATGTGAGGTGCTGAAGTGAATCAGCACAAGTTATGCAACAGATTCATCAACAGAAATATACAGCAGTGATTTTTCGTTCAAACACACCGAGCAGGACAAAGAAGTAAGAGATGAGAAACGTAGTCGATGGATGCAGCCAATAATGTTGACTGAAAGAAACGGGTCCTCTAACAACTGTTTGTAGTTGGATTATTGTAACGTGTGTTATGTGTGCTCATATTTGAGCATAGAAAACAGTTATCTTTACAGGTACTCTTCACAAAAAAAGAGAAAACACCAAATATCAACTTGACAGATTTAATAAAACCACCTCTACATTTCTTCAGTCTCCTCCTTCCCTCCTCCGCTCCTCTCCTCTCTGACTATATTATTATCTGTTCAGTTCCGGCCAGGTCATCCAGGTTTAATTACTCTTCTGGCTAAATGTAGTTTCAGGCGATAAAGAGAACTAATAAAATGGTAATTTACTTAAGAGAACCTGGTTCAGTGCGAGGGAAGGGCTCGTGCACGGTGAGAAGATAAACTGGAAAGGATGGAGTGATGTTTAACACACCCCAATCACAGAGGAACTCACTGAAATGATTACGGTTCTCAAGGAAAGTGGCTGGGGGGAAAAGGGACTGTTGGGATTTAAACAGTCTGACTGAGGAAACTATGTATAATCACTTGGAAAGAAAAGCGTCTGGACTTCTTTAAGTTGCTTGAAGACGTTTCACCTCTCATCCGAGAAGCTTCTTCAGTTCTAAGAGTCAAATGGTGGAGAGTCCCAGGTTTAAACCCAGTGGGAGTATCCCCCCAAAAGATGGACAAAAGGACCCCCTGATGATCCTCTGCTTAGTCACATGAGCCAAGGTGTGAAGACGGGTGTAGGTCACAATTAGCCAGGGTTTCAGGTGAGCTCATTGTGAAACCTGGCCCCACCCTATCATGTGATTTCCTGAGGTCAGATGGCCCAGGGTGTGAGTGGCTGTTAAGGCGTCTGGGAAGGGATCTCAAAACTGGATTATAGATGGCAGACAGTTGGTGTCATAAAGCACAGCCTCTGTTCAAAGATGGTCGTTCACAGTGAACATAAATGGCTTCTTTCACTCCTCTTTCAAACCATCTGTCCTCTCTGTCCAAAATGTGAACGTTGGCATCCTCAAAAGAGTGACCTTTGTCCTTTAGATGCAGATGGACTGCTGAGTCTTGTCCTGTGGAGGTGGCTCTTCTATGTTGTGCCATACGTTTATGAAGTGGCTGTTTGGTCTCTCCAATGTAGAGGTCTGGGCATTCCTCGTTACACTGTACAGCATACACCACATTGTTAAGTCTGTGTTTTGGCGTTTTGTCTTTCGGGAGAACCAGTTTTTGTCTGAGTGCGTTGCTGGGTCGGAAATGCACTGGGATGTCGTGTCGTTTAAATCTGGGACTCTCCACCATTTGACTCTTAGAACTGAAGAACCTTCTCGGATGAGAGGTGAAACGTCTCATAAAAGACACTTTTCTTTCCAAGCTCCTTAGACTACGATGACCTGGATGACTGAGAACCTTCACAGACATATGTATAATCACACAAAGTGACATGAATTCAGCACAGTGCCCTTAAAAAAGTTTGAAAGATGATCACGATATTCAGCTTCACGCGGTCATGTGATGTACGCAGGAACCCTGTTATGCCTTGTCAGAAGAGAAAGAGCTCAAAGAATCCTGATTAAAAGTTAATATAGATTCAAGATGGCTGCTGGGTGACAAGATTTGCTTTTAGGACTTCGGCTATAATGGAGAAAACATGGACCAGCTGCTTTTCATAGCGGAGACCTATGAATGTGTGAGTTTTTGCACGAACAGTTTATTGATTAATCACAAAGAAAAAACAAACATGTTTTAAAAGCATTACTATGATTGCATAATTTAATCCTTAAATGTTCCATCATCTGTAGCTGGCTGCTCTCACCTAAACAGATATATTGCATATTTGCAATCAAGCTGCTGATTTGTGCTGTTTGCTTTCAGCAGCAGTAGCCCAGGTCGCACTTGATGATAGTCCACATAATTTAATCGCTAATAGCTGAACAAGTAGCTACCGCACAGCTGTGTGAAATCCATGATGCTGGTCTTTTTGATGCAGAGAATGATCATTTATATCACACTGCAGCAGAACTTCTTCAGCTTGTATGGATCGTGTTTTGTCAAAGATATTCTAACGCCTACAGACTGAAAATCAATATTCTTATTTATTCAGAGAATATAAACCTTTAATCACTGATTCACTCTGGATCTTTAAATAATGTTGAAATACATTCAGTTTTTATAGATTTTAGAGACAAAGTAACCCAATTCATGTCACTTCAGATAGACTCATGCATCATCGAGTGTAAAGTGCACAAGTCTTGTCTTTCTTTATTTAGCTGTAATTGATTTAACACTGACAGAGAGCACAGACACAGAAATGGAGTGCCCTTTAACAAAAGTCAAGGCTGGTTTTCTGATTCATTTATCCAATGGTGCAGACGAACTTTGATGTGTATTGCAAGATAATACTCGGCGCTCACATTAAAAGTGGCACTGACAAAGCTTTGCAACTGACTGATACCAATATTTTGATATTTGAATTTTGCCCGCTTTCTCTTCTTGTTTCCCTGTGTCTCTCACACACACACACACACACACACACACACCGAAACAGAGAGTGAGAGTCTCACACACATCTACAAACCATGTAATCCTGTCAACAGCTCAGTACCACTGATCCCTCCAGTTCCCAACACTAAAACAAAATGTAAATATTGGCCCCAAAACATCCCTCAGCAGAGCAGCCTCTCAGACAGACAGAGCCTGCTCTGCTCTCTCGCCCCTCGCTCTCACTTTCCATCACAAGCACACGAAGGATGTCTGTAGCAAGTGTGAAGCCTTCAGAAAGATTAGTGCTTTTTGAGATTAAACCAGGACAAGTTTCTGCCCGGTTGTGTTTCTCTAATTCTCAGTCTAATGTGGGAAGACGTAACCTACAATAATAATCAGAGGAGCCTGAGCACCTGATGATAGTGTAATAATTTGTGGAAAACTGGCAAGAGATTGCACTCAGTTCAGCACTAAAGTTGTTCTATTAACGTGAACTAACAATAAGGTTTTCTGTAGTTTGGTGAAGCAGCGATAAAGACAGTAAGATTCAACAGTGCTTTTGTTGAGTGCCCTGAAAGGCCACGGTTATCTCGACACAATAGGGCTTCTCATGGGTATCCACGGATCTGCCTGACAGTGCAGCCTGTTCCTCACAGCCTCATTAGTGGTATAGAAATATATAGCTGCTGTTATCTGGAGGGGAGTTGTTCTCTGAACAGGGTTCTCCCAGCCAATCAATATCCCCATTGTCTTTCTGATCGCTGAGCGATGCTTTATGTCGCCGTTGTAGTTGAGGTGGCTGCGTTGTTTCAAGCTAACTAGATTACTGGGCTTGCCTGAGTTGAAGGAATAGCATGTGTGTCAGACACAGAGAGAGAGAGGTTATTTGTTTTAGGAAAGTTTTTGTTTATTTTTGTTTGAGTCTGTCTGTAAACGCAGCGTTTACTGGAACCCTCTGTCAACCTGTCAAACAGGGGAAAAAAACGGGACTCCTACAGGAGTCATCGCCATGTCTTTCTCTTCGTTTCTGTCAGCGCTCTCACACATTCGCTGAAAAAGAGACGTCAGGATAATTTAGAAACAGAAAAACACACCAAGTGATTGAAGAGAGCGAGAGAGAGTTATCAAAGCCGAGACGCAGAGAGAGGCTGAGAGGCCAGATTATGCTAGCTGCTTTCCTTTTGGATTCTGCTGTGACACCCGAACGTGCCTGAGCTGCTGACGGAGGTTTGGCTGGAAGGACTCTCTAGCTGTGAAGGGCACAGGGTGTCTGTGTTTGTGTGTGTGGGTGTACGTATTTGTGTGCAAAGCTATCATTTGCTTACAGTCATCACATTGAACCACAAGCTGTGAGCAGATTAGGGTCCATTTATGGCAGCCGCACACCTCTTTTATCTTTTGTTATTTTTGAAATATTTAAATGCTGGGTGCATGTCTCTGCGACTCTGTGATAGAGCTGCTTAATCATGGCTGACACTGTAATCATTTTGGTCACTACTGAGGTCACGGAGATTTAGTGGCTTCTGAAACATTGTGCATTTGTTTGAATTTTTTCTATATTTGTTGTTCCTCATTGGTTCCCTTGAATAAAAAGTATTTCCAAGCAGATGAATAAGCTTTACCCTTTCTAGTTGACCAAAGACTCTTTTTCTCTTCTTTCAAAGCATCATAGCTGGGAGACTGAGTCTGGGCTCTGAGGTAACAGTCAAAGCCAAGCAAAATTGTGCATTCATGACCAACGCGATTATAGTAATAGAAAAATAGAACAGCAATCCGCAACACAACACCTCTTAAATAAGTTGGGACAGGGCCATGTTTGCCACCCTTTAGTATCCCCTCCTGTTTAAACGAGAGACCAGCTGCTGAAACTTTGAGAGAGGTATGCTGTCCCGTTCTGGTCTGATATAGGCAGCAGGACAGAAATACAATATGGATTTTTGCCCATGTCCCTTGCACACAGATTTTTTTTATGACATTTTTTGATGAAGTTATTTAATATAGATGATGAAATATTCAGTATCAACAATTTTAAGTTGAGGAACATTATTTTGAAATTGCTCCAGACCCAGTTTTTTGCAGATGGGTTAATCTCTGCTCATTGTAACCTCTGAGAAACACTGCCTATCTAATATCCTTTTTTTATACTCAATTATTTTACTAACTGTTG